AGTTTCAAGTCTTACATTTAAATCTTTAATCCATTTTGAGTCTAGTCTCATTCTTCTGCACGTGGATATCTGGTTTTCCCAGCACCATTTATTGAAGAGACAATGTTTTCCCCATGATGTATTCTTGTCACCATTGTCAAAGATCATTTGGCTGTATATGCATGAATTTATTTCTGGGCTTTGTATTCTGTTCCATTGGTCTATGTGTTTTTATGCCAGTATCATGCAATTTTGATTACTATAGCTTTGTGGTAAAATTTGAAGTCAGGTAGTTGATGCCTCCAGCTTTGGATTTTTCTCCGAATTGCTTTACCTATTCAGGATCTTTTTTGGTTCCGTGTGAATTTTAGGATTGCTTTTTCTATTTCTGTGAAGACTGTCACTGGTATTTTGATAAGAATTGTGTTAAACTGTATATCACTTTGGGTAGAATAGCGTGTGAATTTTAGGATTGCTTTTTCTATTTCTGTGAAGACGACTGTCACTGGTATTTTGATAAGAATTGTGTTAAACTGTATATCACTTTGGGTAGAATAGCCATTTTAACTATTAATTCTTCCAGTCCATGAACACCAGATATCTTTCCCTTTATTTGTGTCCTCTTCAATTTCTTTCTTCAAATTTTTATAGTTTTCATTGAATAGGTCTTTCACCTCCTTCAAGACCCATGTTCTTGACACTACCCAGGGGTTTATTCTCATGTGGCCCCTATACGCAGTGTTCTCTACTCCCTCTGTTAGCCAAACCTGGGTCATTTTATGTTTAGTAATGTAGTCACTTCTAATATACATTCCCCAAACTGTGTAGTGAAAACACAACATGCACTTAGTGACCATGTGAAGTGGCATCATTTCAGATGTGAAGTGGTTGGTGTTGCATGTCAGAGGAGCACTGTGATCCTTGCACACACACCACCTAAGGCTTTTCCATTTCTGACTGGCCAGGCCACATTGCTGCCACTAACTTGCCACCCTGCAGAGTTCTTTCATTAAGTCTGAAAGAGCTAAGAAATCAGTGAAATTACTGGTAAATATATAAGATGGCAGGAGAACATTTTTATTGCTTCTTTAAAAATGCTTTATTGAGTTCATACAAAGAGAGGAATATTTTATTTATAAATTTAATGTAAATGCCATAAAATAAATGAAAAATACATGAGACCTATGAACAAAACATAAACATTATTCAAGTTCCACATGGTTTAATTTTACCAACATCCCCTGGATTCCATGGGAAGAATTTCAGCATAACATAATTATTTTCAGTTCAATGCAAAAAAATATTGACCGAGCTTCTACTATGTGGTAGGCACTGAATCTACAAGAGTGAATAAGACATATGCCTGCCCTCTCCATTCTCAAACTACAAAAAATATGGTCCTCACTAGCCTTTCTAATCTGAATTGAAAATCTATATGTAATTACATTATTTTAATAATTCCTCAACCCAAAGTTAGGCAAAAGGACTCTGTAAGTACCCTCAGGTACTAGGTATTATTCTAGAACAGAGATTGTTAATGTGAAACTTGAGGGCATATGAACATTCCTAATAAAGCATGGCACTAATTCTCAATGGGCTAGACTTAGCCCCAGAATCCTTCTCAACACAGCACTCCAGACAGTCGTTATTGGAGGTGGCATGTAAGTTTCCTCCCATTTTCTAAGGTTTTTCACTAAATATATGAAATGCTATCCACTTAGAATGGTTACTTTTGTGGCTTTACAAACATTCAACACTCATTCCAAAGGATTTCTTGAGTAATGTAACAGTTAACATGGAGTGCTTGCAATGTGCCAGACACTGTGCCAAGCGCTCTCCTTGCATTATTATTTAATTCTAATAAAAACCATATGAGGTAAAAGTAGATGCTGTTATCCACTGTAGAAGACAGTTCTAGATTATTATTTTGGGGGTGGGAGGGTTTGGTCTTGCCCAGCACCTATTCTCTCTTCATCTAAAAGCAGCAACAGGAGCTGGTTTGTTAGCTCACTTGGTAGAGTATGGTGCCAATAACACTAAAGTCAAGTGTTCAAATTCCCATACTGGCCAGATGCAAAAAAAAAAAAAAAACACCCATGAAAATAAATAATAAAATGTAAACATTCAGAAAAACAGACTAATTTCCTAATAAGAAGGGTATTAAATAAATAAAGATAAATAAATAAAAGCAGCAACTCAGTTGATTTGATCATCACATATGTACACAAATATTGATAGTCTACTCTGTACCCCATGAGTATGTATAATCAAAAATAAATAAATAAATTTTTTTAGGAAAAAAAAAACTAAGAAAAAAATTAAATAAAAGCAGCAACTCAATTTTCCTTCTAAGAACCTTCCAAGAGCTATATCAGTTTATACAGTTAGGTAGGCACATGACCCAAGGCTTGCCCAGAAAAATATGCATCTCCTTGGCCATAGCGATTGGTTTAAGGTTGGGCTGGGACCCAAGCTGGACTAATCAAAGGCAACTAGAGCCACTATGGGACTCTTGGCTAAGAGGCACTTCTTTCCACTGGGTTTGTGAAAACTGTTTTGATGGAAGCTCAGAGCTATTGTAGCCATCTTGCCACTTCCTAGGGAGCTCCTGATTGAGAATGTGGCCAACATATAACTCAGACATGGAAAAACAGTTCCCAATGCCAGAGTTTGAGAACCTCCAACAGGCCATGTCCAAAATGAGCTCTTCCAATGCAGATATGGTAGCTAATAAATCCCAGTGAGTCTATATGTGTACATTTCATAAACCGGTTTAATTTTGGTTTTCTGTGTTTTACAAACAAAAGACTACCACAACCCCATTTAACACATAAAAACTCTTAAATTTATAGAGGGTAAATAATTTGTCCAAGGTTACATAACTAGTTATTGGTAGAGTGGGCTTAGAATCATTCTTCAAAGTCGGTGCCTTTAACCACTATGCTATTCTGTTCAAGCACTGTGATAGAATTCTCTCTGTACTCAAGACTGAAGAGTAAGGTATCAGAAGTGTAGTGTTAGCATTAAATGTGACAGAGCTAGTCAGATCTGAGGACTAATTTCCAGACAACTGAGGTGAAAGATTTTGGATGCAACATTCAAAACTGACCATAGCAAAGGGGAATGAGGGCCAGGAAGTAGTCTTTGCATAGACAGCCAGGGCCTGGATAAAGGGCGTGTCACCCTAAAGAAGAGGAAAGTATGCACCTCCATCTTTGATATTAATTCCTTTTCTGCATCTAAAGCTGGAGAGGAGGGAGAACAGTTTCTCTTTCAACTCTTTATAACTCTGTACCCTATCAGCTACAGAGAATGTAAGCAAAACATAACTATAGTAGTTCCCTTTCTGTTACAACTGTATGGAATAGAGGATGAATTAATTTTTTTTTTTTTTAAGATGACTGGTAAGAGGATCTTGATCCTTGACTTGGTGCTGTCAGCCCCACGCTCTCCCAAGTGAGCTAACCGGCCATACCTATATGGGATCCGAACCCGTGGTCTTGGTGTTATCAGCACCACACTCTCCCAAATGAGCCACGGGCCAGCCCGAGGGTGAATTAATTTAGATTTTTCTAATTATAAAACAAGAATGTGTTTATTGAGGACAATTTGGAAATTTTAGGGAAGTATAACACAGAGGAAAGATTGCCCACAAGTTTAACAGAGACAATCAATGCAGATCCTGTTGTTTATTTCCTCCCAGACTTTTATCATCTTACTATCTTTATCATTTTATCATCTTTCAGGTATCAAGAAAATATCAAGGATATGATAAATTCCCATGAATCCACCAGATTTATGTAACAAATTTTAACATTTTTCCATATTTGTTTTGATCTCTCCACTCTTTTCAGGAAACAAAACACATACAGTTGCAGCTGCTTCTCCCCTCCTCTCCCAGGATACTCACTCTGCTAAAGTTGGCATGTATCCTTTGCACACTTGTCTTGATTGCATCTACATGTATGCATTCATAAAAATATGCAGGCTCATGTGCTTTAAATTTATATGAATTAAATCACACTCTTTCATTTTGCAACTTCCCCTGTTTACCCAACAATGATTTCAAGACTTATTCATGTTTATCCATGTAAATCAAGTTCATTCATTTAAACTATTGGTAATATTCAATTTTATTCTTATCATTTATCCATTTTCTTTTTTGTTTGCTTTTGTTTTGAGCGGCTGGCTAGTGTGGGGATCCAAACTCTTGACCTTTGTGTTTATCCATTCTCTTATTTTTCGACTTTTAGGTTTTTCACTCTGTTTTGCCATACAAACAATGCTTATAAGCATCCTAGCATGCATCTTTTGTGCACGTGTCAGACTTTCAATGAGGTGTGTTCTAGAGATGAAATTGCTGTCATAGGGCACGAGCATCTTCAAGTCACCAGCTATGTGCCAGGTTGTTTTCCAAGGTCACCAGCAGGAGATGAGAGTTCCCATTTTCTCTCACATTCTTGACAACTCTTGATATTTTTAGATATTTAAACTCCTCTCAAGCTCTGTTGCAGAATATCTCATATTTATTTATTTATTTATTTTTAATTTTCAAATTTGTTATTCACATATTCATTCTTACAAAATTTAAACTCCTCTCAAGCTCTGTTGCAGAATATCTCATTATTTATTTATTTATTTATTTATTTTTAATTTTCAAATTTGTTATTCACATATTCATTCTTACAAATTGTGATATTTCCTTACGCCCTTTGCCCAATAATTTTTATTTTAATTTACGTAATTCTTAGTGAAGGTGAGCATCTTTTCATTCTGTTTATTCACTGTTTGGACTGCCTTTTCTGTAATTGCCTACTCACAGCCTTTGCCCATTTTTATTTTGGATGTTTATCGAATTTTAAATGATCTGTAGGAGTTCTTTATATATCCTGAATATTAAACTCTTTAAGATACAAAGACGCGACAGGCGGACGTTCCTGAGCGCGCGACCCGCGGCTGCTGCGTCCCCCGCGCCCTTGCCGGTAATAGGGGTAAGAGCCGTTGTCACCGTTGTCACCGCCATGCCAAAAAATAAAGGGAAAGGAGGTAAAAACCGGCGCAGGGGTAAGAATGAGAACGAATCAGAAAAAAGAGAGCTGGTGTTTAAAGAGGATGGACAAGAGTATGCTCGGGTCATCAAAATGCTGGGAAATGGACGGTTAGAAGCCATGTGTTTTGATGGCGTGAAGAGGTCATGCCATATCAGAGGAAAATTGAGGAAAAAGATTTGGATAAATACCTCAGACATTATACTGGTTGGTCTACGAGACTATCAGGACAGCAAAGCCGATGTCATTCTAAAGTACAATGCAGATGAGGCGAGAAGTCTGAAGGCATATGGGGAGCTTCCAGAACATGCGAGAATCAATGAAACAGAGAGCTTTGGTCCTGGAGACGATGATGAAATCCAGTTTGATGATACTGGAAACGATGATGAGGACATCGGTGATCTTTAAATTGAACTCAGTGTTTTCTGAGGATTGTTCTACACTTGGGACTTTGAGCATTAACACCTGATAAGGAGACTGGAACTTCATTTAGTAGGAATATAGTTTCAAAAACAGCCTGATTTATTTTTATTATTTGTTTTCAAGTATTTATTATATTTCTTTAAAGACTGGTGATGTTATATTATCTTAAGTGAAATGTTAACACTTTGTTCTTTTGATGTGGTGAAACTTAAGGGTAAAAGACCATCATATCTGCTGTGAAAACAAAAGAAAGAAAGAAATGCCTTTCCTGCTGTGACTACTTCACTTTCAGTAAATGGATGTTTTGTATAAATTGTTTGCCTTATAATCATCAAGGATTATAACAACCCTAGTTCCAACTAATCTGTTTATTCTACAGAGTCTTTATATATGTCCTCTTGAGATTCTTGATAAAATTTAAGGAAGACAAATCTGCATTTGGAGCCAGAAGAAATTGGACTATTTTTCTTATTTATGTAGCTGTATGTATTTTTATACTAACTCTGATAACTTATACGTTCATTTCATCATTTTGTGTTGCCACCATCCTTTAAGAAAGGCATTTCCAAAACACAGCTTTTAGAACTTGGGTTTGAGTGGCAATTTTGAATTTCTAAGATTACTAATTGCAGAAAGTGAAGACTAGGTGATAACCAATTATCTAAACATTGGAAATTCGATATATTAATTGACAGCGTTTTTATTTAACATGCATAGAAAATTTCTCAAATAAGACACCTTTTGGGTGGTAAAATACATGGTATATTTTTTACGATACAAAATAGGTTATGTCAAAAGAGTTTATTTTCAAAAGTCATGCATTGTAACCCATGGTCTGGGCTGTGTGAACAATTAGGTTGCAATGTATAAATGAAAAACTAAGTTCATAATAAATTCTGTATACTAAGCCTGGAGTAATGGAAGGGAACTACAACTTAGTGAAAACATGGTTTCTGTTTTCTGAAATACAAAGAAATATAATAAAGTGCCACACTGAGTATAAAATATATATGTATATAAATGCTTTCCCACTGAATGTTAATGACTATATAACATCACATATTCCACAGAACCATATTTTGTTCATGCATTCCTTTTTGTTGACCATCAGTGCTGTGTCTTTTCCATGGTTTTATTGTTGTTGTTTGATTATTCTTTCTTATGAATAATTCCTTGTTGAACATCTTTGTGCATGAAGTTTTGGATGATGTTTCATGACTTTCTCAGGATACATATTCCCACAAGTTGAACTCCTGTATCAAAGGATATAATATCCTTTGCCAAATTGCTTTTTAAAAGGTTATATCAATATGTCAGACAGGGTCAGTCTGCCACAATAGTCCCCAAATCTCTAGAGTAACACAGCAAAAATTTATTTTCCACTTTCAACTTGTTTCAACGCTGGTTGTTAAAGAGTGCCTCTCATGCGTGTCACTCAGGGTACTCAGGGACTCATATTCTGGCTCCTAAAACTTTCTTCTGGAAGTGATTAATGTCACTTCTGCTCACATTTAGTTGGCCATAGCAAATTATATAATCATGCCGAACTTCAAATGAGTCAAGGAGATGCAATCCTAGCATGTACTCAGAAGGAAAATCAGAATTATTGTAAACAGCCCAAGCTTCCAGTGACAGAGATAAGAGGAATTCTGAACACACCATTTCTGAAACGTTCCAACCATTTTTAAAGATGGAGAGAGGAGTCAGAGTGGGAGGTTGGAAAGCATTCCCTAAGCCAGAGAGAGGGAATCTGGGTCTCAGCAAAAGCATAAAGAAGAATAAGTTGTTTTGGGTGCCCAACTCCCTTTCTTAACCTTTTATTTAAAAAGAAACTATAGACACACAGGAAGTTGCAAAAATAGGACATAAAGTCCCATATACCCTTCACCCAATTTCCCCCAGTGATGACATCTTGTATAACTGTAGTACAGTACCAAACGCAAGACACTGACGTGGCACGATACTGTTCACTAGACTATAGACTATTCAGTTTTCACCATTTTACATGCACTCATTTGTGTGTTTATGTATTTGTGTGTTTATGTATTTGTGTGTGTGTATATATATATATATATAGTTCTATGCAATTTTTTTCATCAGTGTCGGGCAATATACCCATCCTTTTATTTCAATTTTAATTTTTTTAGTTCTATGCAATTTTAATTCATGTATAGGTTCATGTAACTGTCAACATAATCAAGAATTGCTCCATCACCACAAAACTTCTCCCTCATGCTACCTGTTTATTTTTTGCCCCTCACCCACTCCTGTCCTTTGGCATCACTAATCTGATCTCTATCTCTGTAGTTTCATTATTTCAAGAATGTTATGAGAGGAATCACACAGTATTTAACCTCTTGAAATTGGCTTTTTTTTCTTTGGTGGCAGGCCAGTACAGGGACCTGGAAATTGATTTTTTTCATTAATCATAATGCCCTTGCGGTCCATCCCAGGTTGTTGCATGTATTAACAGTTTATTCCTTCTTGTTGCTGACTAATATTCTATGGTATGGACATACCACAGTTTGTTTAACCATTCACTTGCTGAAGGACATTTGGGCTGTCTTCAGTTTTTGGCTATCACAAAGCTGCTATGAACATTGGTGTCTATGGGTTTTTAAGTTTTTATTTCTCTAGGATAAACAGTCAAGAATGCAACTGCAGGGTCATATGGAAGCACATGTTTAGTTTTACATGAAACAGCCGAACAGTTTTTCAGAGTGGCTGTGCCATTTTACATTCCCACCACCAGCAATAGATGAGAGATCCAGTTTCCCCGAATCCTTGCCAGAATTTGGTATTGTCGCTATTTATTTTTTTTTATTTCAGCTGTTCTAATTGGTATGTAGTGATATCTCATTTTGATTTTAATTTTAATTTCCCTAAGGGCTAGTGATGCTGAACATTTTAAATTGTACTTATCTGCCTCCGGTATCTCCTCTTTAATGAAATGTCTTTTTATGTCTTTTACCTGCTTATTAATTGAATTTTTTGTTTTTATACTATTGAGTGTTGAGAGTTCTTTATATATACAAGATCTTCATCAGACACATGGTTTGCAAATATTTTCTTCTAATCTGTATCTTCTTTTTTCTTCCTTTTAACAGGGTATTTTACAGTGCAAACATTTTTAATTTTGATGAAATTAAATGCATTAATTTTTTATGGATTATGTTTTTGGTATCATGTCTAAGAACTCCTCACCTAGCCTTGGTCTTTGAATTTGATGCCCTTCTAAACTCCCTTTCAGAACCCAATCCATCTGCCACACTTCCAGCTGCCACCAATCACTAATCCAGGATCCATTTGCAAAGGGCTTTTTGTCTAGGTATTTGTCTCAGCTAAACATCAGCTCATAAAAGTTTAAACAGTTAACTCTCTTCTTCAGATCCAGTCCAAAGGAATCTTCTTCAGAACAAAAGTTCCAGGCACTGGAGGAAATATTTTGGGTTGGGGAGGGAGATAGTCTTCCCTGAGTAGTTCACACCACATTTTCCAAATCAAACAGCTCAGAGAAGACACTTGAGTTGGATGTGTATTCAACTAAGCTCTCAGACCAGTCTTGGGTGAGCCCAGCTGTAAATGTCTGTGCAATTTACAAAACTCAGGTCTAGGAGAAGTCCTACTTTCCTCAGTGTGTGGCACTGGGAGAAGGGAAGCAAAGTCCATCTCTCCATGTGACCTGAAACCTAGAGAATAATTCCTTCTTTGATAGTTTATACATTTAAGCTCTGACCCCAAAGCCACAAACATAAGCAAAATGCTTCTGTTTCCTATAACCAGAGCTCACCAGAGGATTATTTTATTATTTTGGGAGTCCTTGATAACTCAGGAACTACCTTTTCAGAAAATCCCAAAGGGCCAAAATTAAAGGTCATCATCTGATATGTTGTAATTTGACTTTCTCTCATAGGACATTTAGTCTTAAAGGTAACAAAATGGATACTTCAACCTTGTGCAAGTCTTTGATAATTCTAATTATTCCCCAGACAAGTATTAGCTAGCTTATATAGTTTATATATCTTTTCAATCCTAAAACTCTTAAATGCATCAAAACATATTTAGCTTCTAGAGGAACTAGGTGAAAAATGCCCAATTAATCATTTATTAAAATTTGGTTGTTACCAAAATAAAAAACAAAATCCTCTAATCCAGCTATCAAAGAACTTAAATCATATTCAACATGTGTAGATTTAGTAGGTTTGTATGTTCTTGGTAATGCACTGCCTCATTTCTAGAAGAAAAATTGTTCATTTGATAATTTAAATCTACCTTTAAACAAATTTTGCAGTATCTTGATCTTCTTTTCTAAAATAACTTAAGTTCATTGTCTTTTTTTTTTCTGGACTAAGATATCTGGGAAAAAAATAAAGGAGGTGGGAAGAAGTGACCAAACACAGGACATATTTTCTGACATCATTTCTGTCAAGAATTAATTGGAAGAGAAAGCATGCCTGCAGGCAGAGGGATGGATTCAATGACTTCTTGAAATCCTTGGCAACTGAATATGTCTAGGATTATGATTATGATTATGTTTATTTATTAACATTTACATTGGGCCATTTTGGTTGATTAGCACAATGCAATTACTAAAAATATGCAGCTAAAACTTCTGGGAAATCTCTACATTGCTAGGAAAGGCTACATATGATATCATTTCTGATTTCCAATCATTTAATTAAAATAAACAAGCATAGTACCTCCATGTTGCAATTTTGTCTTAACATAGTTTACTCTATGAAGAAGAACTCAGTTGAATTGCTTAACGTAGCAGCAATGAGAGTAATCTCAAGTTCTTTGTTAATTACTCATTGGACCCTTCTCTTTCCATAGAACAAGAAAGATATGTTCTCTTAGAATGATGGAGCCATAGGTGACTGGAATATGATTGCATGTTTTCTCTGCTCTCTCATCTCCAATGGGTCCAGTCTTGTGGTCACAGCTTCCCTTCCAGCCAGGGCCAGACTTCCGTGGAGGCAGAGAGG